TTGGCATCACCAATTGCAGCAAGATTATTCGGGGTCCTTGAAACAGAAGCGGAAAACGTTTACACACATATGAACAATGTTTACACAAGTATGAACGATTAGAAGGGTTCAAGAGTAATGAACCTTGCAATTTAGATCAAATGACCGCTCTCTCAACAAACCAATGTTCGGGAATCTGTGTAAACTTGAAAGTACGAAATTATAGTCAATTAATCTATCCACGCTTTTTAATATGTGTGCTTTTAATGTAGCGCTAGATATGTCTACATTGTATACAACTGTTCATCTAAGTGTTATGAGAGTGTGTGTGTTTTTTGTAATTTGTAATGTGTAATATCGCATTTATAAAGTGATAATTATTATGGGTCACAATGTTTAAAGTTTGAGTGTGGGTTTTGGCTCGCATCTCCTATCATATATGTTCAATGGCAATATAATTTGTAGCGGTATGCCTTTTTGATGGAGCTTCAGAGTTGCCTCCCTTGGCTGACTCTTTTTTGTTTTGATTTCTGAGTCTTGTCACGTCGTTTGTTCGAGAAATTCCTGCATCGTTCTGAGTGAATAATGATGGAGACTAGCTTTGCTAGAATGCTCGAGAATTGTGACAGAGCTATATAAAGGCTGATTTTTGAGCTATGCAACGGGATTTTTCATATGACTGCATTATTGTAAATCTGTCTACAATCGTCAACATTTCAAGACTGATCGTGCTTGCCTATTCGTCTACTGTCATTGTAAACAACTTTCAATCCGTATATCTGCTCACACTGCAAATGTCAAGACTCTGGTGAGTAATATTTTATATTCGTGATCCAATATTTTAGATTTGTAACTCAATTGCATTGTACTAGAAATCTGTATTGTCATTCACTGTACTTTGCTCATTAGTTTGTTCAATATATTTTAAACGTGTCTGTGTTCTATTTTGATGGATCAAAGGGGACTTTTAAACCTTTTGTCACTGTAAATTATTAACTGTAAGAAAAGGATAGTCAGTGAGTGAGTTAAAATTTATCGTCACATCGGCAATATTTCAGCCATATCGTGACGAGAACAATTAATTTTATGCATAAGAATTAATGGTAATTTTAAAAACCTGTCAACGAAGGACGGTAAAATAAATAGATTATCAGACTCGAATTTAAAACTAGTAATTAGATCTAAAACAGTTTAACTATAGATGACAATACAGTATAAAAACAGGCTATATATTACCAACAACTGAAGGTAGATTACCATACTAAGGACCATACAATGTACTCCTAACTTGCTAGCGGATGAAGGGATAGTGTAATCCAGCTGGGGTCCATGCAGGAAGCGAATGTACTGTAAGTCCCCATGGTCCCTAGTATGGTGATCTACCTTCAGTTGTGGCAATCTATAGCCTGTGTTTATATTGTATTGTCATCTATAGTTAAACTGTTTTAGATTTAATTACTGGTTTAACGTTTCTATCTGTGATAATCTAGTTATTTTTCTGTCATTCGTTGACTCTTTTTTGTGATTTAATTCCATTTATTATCAATTTATAATTTTTAGTTCTTTTTCACGATATGGCTGAAACATTGCCGATGTGGCTATAAACATTAACTCACTTTCTCACTCGAAAGTCAAAATCTCAACCAACTTCGTCATAGATATCGTGCGAACCGTTCCACAAAAGGAGTACACTCATGAATATTAATGTTCACGACCTAGTTTCGTGGCAAAAGTACCCGTGTCGTGTGCTATTGTTTTACTATGTAACAACTATTTCATGTATTTTGTATCAATAACTGACGCTTAGATTGTATTTATGAGTATGTTTCTCGTCAGATATCTGTGATGTCATGTCGACATGGTTTCAAGGGTCGTTTACTTTCGAATATGGGCCCACATTCGCATGTCCAATGTAGTGAAAGAGAGTAACCTCCCTTGAACCACTGATAATGCTGTTTAGCCGGTCAGCAGGGAACTAATCGTTGACTTGAATCGCCGTCCTCTCGTATAGAAAGCGACCTTTTTAAACTTAATATAATTAATGTTTCTGAAAAAATGTAGTCATCCCCAGCTTTAAAGCTTTACAGTATGTCTGTACGCTCGTTGTTGTTAGGGAGCCAAGGGAAGGGAACGCCAGATAAACGCTTGCAGTGAAAAATATATTGAGTGAAGCTCTCATATAATATCACATAATATAGGCTCCGGGGGAATTATCACAGTATTCCTTACACAGTAACTCGACACAAACACATAGGAAGGATATCTACTTCTGTAATAAAGTATACAAATTGATGGAAACAAGTTCTTACTTATTGCATAGAGCAACCTTTCGGTGAGGTTTCTTACACCGTTTACAAGCGTGGAAACCATCAAGCCGTATGCTTCATTATTGGCCCAACAACTTCGAGAATGCCTTTCAAACTTTATCAGATACCCATATAAACGTAGGATAGTAATACATGGGTGCAATACGGATGACGTGGTCAAATTCCGTATTGCATCCCAGATTCCGTATTGAGCCCCTGCTGGTTTATTTATTAATTAATTAAGAAGATGTCATGGAAGCAGAGAATCAACGAGTTCTCCATGGGCTTCACATATTATACTCCTGTGAGGAATCGAACCCGGGTCTTTGGCGTGCTCTAACCACTAGGCTACCCCACCTCCCCAATTCTGTGTGAACACTTAGAATTTGATGGCATCAATGTCAACTATTTGACGCATTGTGATACATTAATTAATGAAAGTCCAAGGTAATACAAGACTTTACAGTGTTTTCTGTTTTCTGGGATATATCAAGATAGAGTCGTCCGTATTATAATCGTGCGTGTGCGTGCTGCGTGCCTGTGTGAGTGTCGTTATTTTATAGGTTTTGTTTTTGCTGAAAGTCCCTGCTTATATATATCCAGAGGCGGTGTGTGGTCTTGTGCACAGAGCCCGGTCACAAATCAGTTGATTTTAAACAACGCTGTCCTTGAATGGGCAACCATGAAAGGCAGCTTGACTCCTGAGAGCTTTTAGGACTTCTGTCGAAGCACACGTGACGCATATGATACGTGTGGTCTTCCCCTCAGGCAAGTGAGTTTGTTCTTAGTTAAGTTCACCCAGCAGAAAATGGGTACCCGGTGGGATCTCATATGACAATTAACCTTCAAGCGCCTTGGCTTGGGTTATCCAGGGTAATAATGTTCATGATGTTGTAGGCGCTTAGTACATGCCCTTACGCCATGGAAGTCAGTGCAATATAAATTACCTTATTATTATAAATTATTATCCATAATGCACGTTATTCACACATGTAACGTACAGACGAGTCAAGTTGCATTTGAGTTTTGTAACTAGGGTAAATTTAGAATCATAGTATGTGTTGACATGAAGTCCATGTTACCGCTGGCATATGAGGTGAGGTGAGGTGAAATGGGGTTTAATGTCGTAGTTAAGAATATTTCGCTCATATGACGACGTGTATGCGTGTGTATGTGTATGTGCAGCTGTTTGTACTAGCCCAGACTTAAGCTGGTTTTATAGTGCTAGCTCACTGAGATACCATGCCGCAGTGAAGCACGAATACCCCACTCAGACACATTATAATGACTCCGAGCAGACCAGTTATTGTTGTACCCATTAATGCCGAGCGCCAGGTAGGGAACAACAAGTACCATATTTTATCGTCTTTTGGTATGACGCGGCTGGGGATCGAACCCACGACTTTCCGCTCTCCGGGTGGACGCTCTAACCACTACACCACTACAATGACACAGACTGGTACAGAAAACGTTTAAGAGGAATCAAGTAACGGTCTTTGATGTGTAAATTGTTTATTTTTAAAAAATCAATAACAAAAGCGAACAAGATTTCGGGCGAGATGGATCCAAGCAAACTGAGCTTGTCGTCGGAGATCAAGCTTCGTTGATCCTAGTTAATGAGTGAGTCAGCAAGTTAAGATTTTAAGTCATATTGGCAATATTTCAGCCATATCGTAACTAAATCAAGTTATAGATTTATAATTAAGTTTAAATGATCAATATATGTCAACGAAAGACAATAAAACAACTAGACTATCACAAATATAACTTTATAACTAGTAATTAAATCTAAAATAGTATAGAAGACGATACAATAGAAAAACAGGCTATAGATCGCCAACAACTGAAGGTACATCACCACACTAGGGACCATGGGGACTTACAGTGCCCTTGCTACCTGCATGTACCCTAGTTGGATTTACACCATCCCCTCAGCTGCTGGTGGTTGTAGGCAAATTTAGCCGTAAATTAAAATGACAATACTACTATAATAAAAACTTGAGTAAAATTTACTTCGAATGTTTTGGGACTTACGTATCCTCTCAGGAGGACAATAATTTTACGGTACTTCAACCTCCCTTGAGGATACCGCCACTAACAATCTAAGTTGCTAATTTAACAACCAATAATAAAATATAATAAGATATGCATCTATATACAAAACAAATAAATCAAAATTTATCAGTTGGTTCAATTTCGTTTAAAAATCCAATAATTCAATGATTATTAACATTGCTAAAAAGATCCTTTACTGTTTTTGCACAGAAATATTTATCCCTTGTGATGAATCAATACAGGCAAGCAGGACATGCTTGACTGTGATTCTCTGATCACCTTGGTTTATGAAATACCAATAGCATTCCAATACACAATACGAACAACACGTGATATTCTGTGCAGGGAGGCGGCTGGTTATTGTCTCAGAAAACAAACAGAAGCTAAAGGCTATAAATAACAAAGGCAGTTGTCTGCCTTCAATCAAATTATTGTTGCTTGTAAATATCTAAAATCATAGTTTCATTTGTAAAAGAAATATCTGGACTCGAAAATCATACCAGCACTATCCCCTTTTTGCATAACTGCTGGCTGTAACAACAATATGTATATGTTATGTGTCCTTCAAGACAACGCCATAAAACCTTCATAGGGTATCATGCACTTACTGATCTGTATCGTCAAGATGAAGCGGTGATCCGAGAAGACTTATTGGACTCAGCCATTATACTCACTCTCTTTTATACAAGTGAGAAGACCCCCCTCTATGTATTCCTTGCTACTGCACTGCTACTCTCAAACAGCGTTCCTTGGATTATGTGGACGTTTCGCCCCTTTGCCAATGATGTTTATACTGTTCACACAAATGTTGGGCCTTACTATGCCGTTTTTAACTATTTAAGCTTAACATATCTAAAGGAAATTAAATTGTATGATAAGATCTAGATTTTGAATTTTGAATGTCATTTTTTACTGATTATTGTGATAATGGATAACCTGATGTTTTAAGCTACGAATATGTGTAATACTCCTGAAGATTTACTCATTCACTGGCATACAGAAGAAATGCGTGATCACGGAGTTTTGATACGACTTCGTTTGTGTTATTAATGGGAGCAAACTATATTGACAATTCCTACTCAAACATTTTGGCTTAACAATTGTTATCCACATCTATTGCAATTATCAAAAAAACATGATTTGGTTTGGTACTCAACATGAAAATAGATTACTAAATCACATCATCATTGCTGCAAAGAGACATATTCACTTATGCAGTATTAAAAATATGCTTCCAAATCTAACTATATATATAAAAACTCTAAAAGAAATATTCTTTGTGGAAAAACATATATCAGCAAAAAATAATAAAATAAATAATTCCCATCATAAATGGAGCCTTTTCTCCCCAGTATTTAGATGACTCAAACTGTATTGACGTGCACCTGACATTATCTGTACAGTATCTATTTAATGAATTATGCATGTTTATAAATATATTAATACAAAAATATCTCACCTGTACATCTGTGCATTATCTATCTAATGAATTATGCATATTTATAAATATATTGAAACAAAAATATCTCACCTGTACATCATGTAGCCGTATTACTTTAAGCCTTCGTATCACGGCTTGGAACCAATAAAAAAAACACACAAAAAACCAACTATATTGACAATTGCAAGTGTGTTAATGTATTCAAAACGCTATAAAGCAAATAAAGTTGTCTTAGAAAATCTGTTAGTGATATATTTTAGAATAGCATGGACAGTGGGTTTTAAACAATGCAACGATTCAAAACTCATGTACAAACATCACAGTGTGAAGGTCATACAATCTGTCTGTCTGAAGGTCATACACTAACATGGAAATATATTAGTGCCACAGTCTAAAAAGTTCATAACACAGAAACAACTGCATAGATGACAGTTTACTTCCACATCGATGATACCTGCATCTAGGTAGGAAACACCTACATATACTCGGATGTACTAAAATTATAAGTTGTTCACTGATCACGAGGGGTACATGGGTTGAGTACACTAACCCATGTGCCCAAGGGACTAGTGAACAACGTATTTATCATACCGAACATCTCAATGTTAATTTTGAACTGTTTGAAGCACGGGTATTGGAGTATAATAAGGAGTACCAGAGAAAGTTAGCCAATACCGACAAGGACAGACAAGAAAAACACATTTAGGGTTATCTCCCTTCCATTGATTTGCATTCGCAAAATATCGGTATTTTCCAAACATCATACGGGGCTCAATTATTCGAGATAAATTTTTACTAACACGAAGAAACAAATTCCCCCTCTTCGGCATCTCCAGCGGGTAACGTAGAAACTGTCTACTAGCTTGTAAGCGGGGTACATTGAAAATAATAGAAAAGCGCTCAGCCAGTTGGAAAACGACATATAAGTGTGGGGTAAGATAACTATGAATATATATGTTCATAACAAGCACAATGGATTTAAATCAATCCTGGAAGCTTTACATTCGTAATGTGTTTTCTCAAGTGTTTATCCACAAAACTCATGTACAAACATCACAGTGTGAAATTCATACAATGATATGGACATATTAGTGACAAAGTCTAATAGGGTTACATAAAAGCGACCCGGAACTACATTGATAACAATTTCCTTCTACATACTGATACCTTCATCTATGTAGAAAAGACCATCATCTACGAGAATGTACTAACATCTACGAATAAATACTGACGTTTACCAAGATGATACTGACATTGACGTTTGTGATATAACAGACGTAACGAATCGGATCTTCATGTGTCCAAATCTTAACATCAAAGGCGGCAATTGCACATGAATCGTTGGACATGGAGACCAATCCATTGATCAGTCAAAATCAGGTTCCTGCTTCATGTTTCCTCGGTAGATTTCAAGAGGCAATTGGTTTTAGCTGCTTATGTCCACTGTTTGCATATATTCAGAGCAGGAGAGAAACCAATGCATAACAGTCAAATTGTATTGTACCACAATGCAATGCACTTACAGATTTTCTACACACTGAGTGTTGTAGCTCTTACCAGGTTGCAATAAAACTATTAAAGATAAAACAATAAGGTGAAATTTATAAGTAACCATACATTTTGTACACAAAAGAAATATAATTCATACATCAAACAAAGTATATTATATTGAAGAATCAAGCCAATTTTTTTAAATATTTTGTCAGCAAAATTCCAGCCATGTCACTGCAGGGGACGCCGGAAATGGGCTTCACACGGTGTACCCCTGTTGGGAAGCAAACCCATGTGATGGGGGTGACGAGTGAACGCTGTAACCACTAGGCTACCCCCATCGCCTCATAAGCATGTATATATGAATCAGTATCTAATGGTGATGACAAAAGTGACTGGATTGTCTGGTCCAGACTCGATTTGTTTAGAAACAACATCGCAAATACACAATGATACAAATCTACCGTATACGCACGATAGAGTCAAAATTGTACAATCAACTCATGATGTCTGGTGAGGTGAGGTGAAATGGGGTTTAACGTCGCACTTAAAGATTACTTATCAAAACTACTCATTTCGATCTCTAATTAACTTAAATCGACCTTCTTGACAACAGTGCAAAATTCTCACCCGCAAACGAAATTTCAACCAATCAGAGCGGTGCGTCTCTGTGACGTCATAAGAGGAATAGATATAAGGGCCCATGCAGAATTCATGTACATTTCAGGGGGTAAATTATTTTGCTTACAGGTTTGTATAAACCTGAAATCGCGAGAATTGTTATGAAAAATGAAAGCTGTATGTTCTCACAATCTACTGTCATTTATTTCTGTCTCCTACTTTGCCTAGTTTCCGAGTTACAACATTTTTTCATAGACGATTCTGTCAAAATCGTTCGGCGTCGCTAGGCCTTATTTGTTCTAGCCAGACGCTAGTCATAGCGAAAATGATGATCAGACTCGCTCATCACGGTTACGGTTAATTTCTTCAACCTACACAGTACGACATTAAGAAGGGTGGATGCCCATCAGATGCAGTTAGTTCAAAATATCCTCGGTAGTTCTTGTCTGATTTTAATAAAGTATCAAAGCACAGTGGGCTTTTTCAGGTTTTCTAATGCCTGGATGATATAATGACTGATCCAAATTGATCCCATTTCTGTGTTTTTTTACCTCGATATTTAATCATGTCGAGTAAAAATATGACGTCTATTACGTATAATATTAAAAATTGACATTGATCTCTTTGAATCCGTAAACTAAACAACCCTACATTGCCATTGCTAGAAAATCTGAAAATTTACTTAGGTAAATAGGTACATACAGTTTTAGCACACAGCAAATGCTTATATGTATTTCTTATGCAACAATGAAGTTCTGTTTGTATTCTCAAAATAGCGTCGGCCCATAACCTTTCACATGCAATTAAAAATACTCCTTTGTTGTAACCTGTGTTAGGTGGTGTTAACCTTCACGTTATTCGTCATCATTCACTTGATGGTCAGTTAATGAATTTATAACAGGTATAATTAGTGGTAACACTCCTTAGAGTAACCGACAAAGGTTCCCATTTGGCATTTCGTGTGTGTGGAGTAAATACTCAACATTATAAACATCGATCAAAGGATTAACCGATAACACGCTGATTGATTAATTACTTTTATCTTACACAGCGGATTTGTCAAAAGGTAGTGTTTGTGTATGTAGATTTACTAATCTATACCGAATACACTCTGTCGTGTCTGTGTCTGCGAAAAAAACGTCCTTCTTTCAAAGGATAAACCGCCAATACATTGATTGATTGCTCATTATTGGCTAACAACTAAATTATTTTTTTTAAAGAATGGCGGACATTATGCAATCAGTTGCCAGGTGTGCTATCTTGGGTGACCAATGAGACTATACGCGAATGTGAAATACCTGAAACGATATGTCACTTTTTCGTATATGAGACTGTTAAAAGCCACATCACTTGGAACAGCTGCAGATGAATGGCATATCACTCGTTTTTGTGGATATTGATGGATACATTCCTTGAACAAGGTAATAGCCTGAAATTGTTCCTATAACTTAAATCGGTTTTAATTTTAATATTTGCGTTTTGTTTCTATTCATTTGTCGTAGCATTCAACAGAATCATTGTTTTCGTCGTGAAGTGTAATGAGACAGACAACATACACTAGGGCGTGTGTGCGAATTATGATTCACATTGGCAAACTATAAAACGTCTAGAAATTACAGTCCTGTTATAAATTCAAGTATCAGCAGATCGTCTGCTTTTTATTTAGTTTCACAATGCATACAAGTATGATAATAAACTAATTAGGATTATAAGACCAAATATAAAGACGTACATTGACTAGTATCTACATACTGGTAAGTGGACAGTAACCACATGAATGTAGCAAGAAATTTATCGCGCAGTATTATGACTTCGACCCCCACCTCGCTTCCGTGGAAGAAATCGTTATGTTATAAGTTGTGTCATGCAAAATCCTTTTGGTCATGATTCAATTAATATTTAACTACGAGTAGAAAGTAATTTTGATTTTCTAACTTGATGATAACAGACCATAATCTCATTAATTCTAACAGACTTTAGCCTGTGACTTTACGAGTTTAAAAAATGGCAGCGGCCTGTCGCGAACATCCGCCAGTCTGAGGATAAATGCTATTTAGGTTTGTTTTCACCGAGTTACAAAATCAAAACTACTTTCTACCGGTAGTAAAATATGTATTTGATTGATGGCCAAAAGGATTTTGCATGACATAGCGTATAACATAGCAATTTCTTTCGTGGAAGCGAGGTGGGTGTCAACATAATTCTACTTACAGTATTATTGTTACTTCGACCACAACCTTGCTTCCGAGGAAGAAATCATTATGTTACAAGTTGTGTCATGGAAAATCTTTATGGTCATCAATGTTATACATATTTTACTACAACTAGTAAGTAATTTTGATTCTTTAACTTCCTTACAGCAATCTGAACACAAGTAAGATATCGTTTCAGGCTTCCACAACGCTCGCTTCACACCAATTTAGCACGAACTGCGGGGTCTTGTGGAAATCTCTGCATGGTGACACCATCATCCAACCCCTAGGAGCAACTGACGACAATGTAACGATTCAGCATGTCTTCGATGATGTCGAGAAATCATCAAAATGACAAGCTTGCTACACACTTTATATACAACTAACTGAAAATCTTTCCTCATATGACGTCACTGCAGTGGTCTGGCGACAGAGTTACGTAACTTTTCTGTGGTTTCGTTGGCGGGCGAGAGTGAAGCAGGCGACTTTTTGGCAACGTTTAATCGCTCGGTAGTACTTAACCACAAAATATCTAAGAATGAATTTGGTGTTCTGCACAGGACTAACCACAAATTATTCATATGTAATAGTTAAAAAAGTGTATTTGTTCTTTAAGAATATTTCGCTCATATGACCACATGCATGCGTTTGTATGTTTGGCTGCTTGTGCTAGCCCAGACTTTAGCTGTTTTTTTAGCGCTAGCTCACTGAGGTACCATGCCACAGTTAAGCTCACATACTTCACTCAGACACATTATACTGACTCCGAGCCGACCAGTCCTTGTTGTACCCCTTAATGCCAAGCATCAGGCCGGGAACAACAAGTACAATATTTTAACATATTTTAGTATGACGCCGCCTGGTATCGAACCCGCGACGTTCCGCTCTCACCACTACACCACAGAGACGGTTTCATGATGTCAAGTCCAGTCCAGTTGTATGCTTCTCTCGATTGTAATACAGTCTGATGTACGCCTCTTTGTGGTAGTGTTACCCGAGCCGGTGACACTGCTGCAAACAGACGTATGTTAGACCGTATTACCCGAGGGAGAAGCATTCAACGTATTTATCTTACCGCCATGTTTAATGTACAAAATATCATTTTATTTTATTTTGAAGATCGATATGATCACTATGGACTATATGACATGTAAACAAAATGGCGTCTGCCTCTCGTCTGGATTTTTCATATCAGTGAAACATATTCTGACAAGATTAAAACTGCTGTAAAATTAGTTTATTATGTTTAAGTTGAGTGTGCAAACGATTCAATGTGTAAAATAGTTTAAATAAAGCAGTGAAAGTCGGTCAACTAAATGTGTACATAATGATCTAAAAAACAGCTAATCGAAATGTTTTCAAACACCGTGTACTGCATGCGTCATATCATGACGTCATACAATTGTTAGCGATACAGCTTCTCGGCGGAGTGTTTGGCGGTTACCGTTGCAGCGGGTAATAGTTTTTCAGTTTTCACCCTCCCAGGTGTTGACCAATGAAATTTATTTTCCATGAAGATAAGGTAAAAATATAGTTGCGGGCAACGATGAGGTCTCCTTGGCTTTACTTTCTATCTATTGTATCTGAGGGCTAGATATCATCGTCCAAAACGTGTTTTGACAGGCGAACGGATCTTCCAAATACAGCCGGGGTCACGGGGGTGATGTACCTTTTAAGTAGTTCCGGAGAAGAAATAGTTCCCTCTTTAAAAGGCTATATCTCAGTTGTTCGTGGGTCTACGTTCAAAACACTCAGTGTTCTGGAATCGCCAGGACATCATCTACCATACTGGCAATTTGCACATTTTGGGAGCAAACTACTCAGAAAAGCTGAAATCAAAAATCACTGCCAAACGGTACGTTTTAGCGACTTGACCCGTCCGGGCAAAATAGTTGGGTATTCGATTGTGCATCTGTACAAGAAATTTGGAAGTGTCGGAACAATTAGTTCTTGAGATATTTGCTGTCAAACGTTGAAATTCTGGAATTAATTCTGAATTATCGCCCCTTTGCTATTGGGCCAAGAGCCTAGAGATTTTTAAGGGGAATATCTACACATCGGTGCGCGTGATTTTTGTAAGTTATGCATTGGTTTAGGAGTTCGGTTTGGTATAAAAATCGGCGGAATAATAAATTATAATAATAATAATCCGAACGATTACAATAGGTCTCCTGCCTAGAGGCAAGAAGCCCGTATTATTTACAGACCACCACCACATAGCTGTAATATTGCAGATTGCAATGTTAAACAAACAAGGAAGCAAGTAACAACAGGTGTGTGTGTGAGCCAAGGCAATATGGCACTTTCAAAGAATATGTGGTACATGTCAAAATAGAGAAATTCAATAGTCACCAGTTCCGTCACTGATGTTGTTAAAGTTAGAAATGTCTTCCTCTTTTCTAAATTAACACATTTCCTGGGAACTTAAAAGTTGTTGTCTCCGTCAAACAACTTATGACACTCACCGAACTGAATTGTCTGCCTCACAGTTTCAATGTGTGTCTGTGGGTGTTAAAGTAAAACAAAACAGTGATGAACGAATGAACAGTGATGCACGAATCATGTAAAATCAGTGAAACTATACTCTTTCACTTAACCTTTGTTGGCTGTTATGTTAAGCTACCATGGAAGCTTACTAGCAAGCCATCCACTAAAATTCTGCAAGTAACTTGTGTCGCCATGTTCAACCTTTTCTCGTTTGAGTTTACGATCCTGTTCAAGTCGCAGCTCTTCTTTCCTATACCTATATTACTCTTCCAACTGCTTCATCCCAATACATAACACTCTCAGAACGTCCCTCCTGCTGTCGTCAACAGTACCACTTGTTCTACCTGTCGTTTCCTTTTCACTTCTTCCATTGTCCATCAGGTGCATAAAGATAAACACACACACATCATTTTATATTACCTAAAATTACATTTCCCACAAATCTTTTATTAAACATTTTCATTTAAAAGTTACTGAATTATGAGATAATAGTTACTATTAATAATTGTATAAACATGAACAATATAGGAAACATATAGAAAATTCTAGAACTTGCTGTATGATAATAATGAACGAAGGTGGAACACACAGCAACTGGTATTGAAGTATGGCAGTAGCTGTTATGACCGCCAGCGATCTTGACGGACAATAGGTGATAGATGGAATGTTTCAAAGTTGACGTTTTTCATTCACTCATTTAGCAGACATCTTTCATAAATGTTACTTGACAGGAAATGTTTCTGTTGCTTGTTTTTTAACTTTATACTTGCGTGTACATGTCAGTGTTACTGACCAAAAAAACGTGAAGGTGGGGGTTAGAATTGGCCTTCAGTAACCCATGCTTGTCGTAAGAGGCGACTAACGAGATCGGGAGGTCAGGCTTGCTGACTTGGTTGACACATGTCATCGGTTCCCAGTTGAGTAGATCGATGCTCATGCTGTTGATCCCTGGGTTGTCTGGTCCAGACTCGATTATTTACACACTGCCGCCATATAGCTTGAATATTGGTGAGTGCGGCGTAAAACTAAACTCACATACTCACTTACTGAAAAATAAGATCTCACTGTCACTTGATATTTGCCATGTTATATAGCTTTTTCCAGCTCCAAACACACAAATTTGAAAACTTTAGAATTATTATGATCTGACATACCATAATCAGGCCTTGTTATCAAAGATAAACGTTTGCGTTGCTGTACATCTTCTTCCTTGTGACACCCTGGAACAAATCGTACATTCTTTCTAGCCAAACCTTCGCTACATAATGAGTTGATCTGAGAAAAAATCCATCTTTAATCACTGACTAGAAACTATTCTTGGACACATTTTCTTTTGAATTAGCATATATGCTATGATTCTTTTGATAATCATGTCCAACCTTGCAAGTTCTCAAAAGATACCTGTAGTTCTGTTTCTTGTATTCAACACAGCTTCCACACAAAAATGAAAAGTTAAAAGTAAAGGTGTAAGTGAGGAGTTTGTATTTGTTTGATTTTCATTGGGTGATCATACTAATATCTTGCAGACTTTTATCAATGCTTCTATGACAAGTAATATCGTCAGCTCTGTGAGGTCATGGTATAGTTGCGTTCCTGTATAGCTTCTACATTCAGTCCACTTGACTAAATCATTAATAAAAAGGGAGAATAACAATGGCGTGGGGATACAGCCCTGTCTTAACCAAGTCGTACAATGGAATATTTTAGAATATACATGACTTTTTGCGCATGCTACACTGCCGTAAACTGCACGTAAAGCACAAAGTGCCCAACCAGAAAGAACAATTGTCTTAAGAAAGACGAGGAGGTTTCTATCGCCTGAATCGAAAGTCGTTTTTCATTGTTATTTGATACATTTGCCCTTTCAAGCTTTTTTTTCCAGCTGTAAACACAGACATGGTTCACCAGACTGCTGCCACACAGCTGGAATATTGCTGAGTAAACTAAACTCACTCACTCGCTCACAAATGGTTCGTGTGTACATGTCAGTCTTAATGAAAGTAGGTTGCCACTTGATACACCTATTAGAATTATTCTGATCTTACATACCAATATTCAACATTGTCTTTGAAAGGGTCACATCATGGTACGTTTGTTGCACATATTCAACTTCAAGCGATCCTGGAACAAAAGGTATATTCTCTCAGGCAACATAGTGAGTATAAGTTGATCTGAAGAAAATTCCATATACAGTCACAAACTAGGAACTATTCTAAGGCTTTTTAACTTCTGAATTAGCAAAAATGTTCTGATTTATTTTATTCTTTAATGGGTATCATGTCTGCTTCCTTGCAAATCTTAATCCCCCCAACTATCCTGGAAACTGACATATTCGATTAGCAAAACCTGTTATAAATCGTTTGTTGATAGTGTCTTACATTGCCGTTTGTAAATATAAGTAACATAAAATTTAATCATACAGACATCTCTCTTAAGCAGTACGTAAAGCTGTTCTCAGTTCTAAACTTTGCATGATCAGATGTACACTTCTCAGATACCGTTGTTGCATTCAAAATTGCATTCCCGTAATGTTTCAGGTCAACAACTGACTGGCATATGGTTAGGATGGGAGCCACTGGTGGGGCAGGATACGCTCACCTTCTCGCGAACACCTGGTATCTACACTATTGCACAGTGATTCATAAAGATATGCTCCATGTATTATAGTGTCATTCACTGGATTGTCTGGTCCAGATTCGACTGTTCACACTTTTTTAACTCTTGGTTTTTTTGTTTAACGCTGCACTCAGCAATATTCCAGCTATATTACTGCCGTCTGTAGATAATCGAGTGTGGATCACACAATCCAGCGATCAACAGCATGAGAATCGTGACCTTCAACTCTATATATGGGTTAGTGCATATCTGTCAAGATACAGAACTGTTTATGAGTCACATAACATAACGTTTCATCACTAACGAACTCTGTTGCTGCCACAGAAGAGAGAAAAGCACGGACAACATGTTTATACTTCTCATTGTTCATGCTCAAGGGATCAGGAATAGAGAGGCGAGATCGTTCCTTCTCTATCCTTGCTAGAGATGACTCAAATGATTCCTCCGACATGAACTCCTTCTCGTGCACTAAGCCATATATAGAGTTGAAGGTAACGGTGGTAAACGTACGAACGTTCTTTGTAACTTCTTTCGAGACAGCAGAGTTGTATCTTTGAGTCTGAAGTTTCATATTTTCAGACATGTCTGTCACAACCGAAATAATAGCTGCTGGACTTCCCTGTCTGATCAAACACACGTCCATAATAACCTCATGCACTTCATGTCCATATTAGTAGTAACAGGGAGAGACTTTGCAATGTATGAAAGGACAGCATTGCCCCTTTCTGAAAGCTCTTTGAGTCTTCTCTTCAAATTGGCATAAGCCTTTGCTTCTGGAAAACTCTTTGGAAATAATTTGATTTCTTTTTAGCCTGTCAATGCAACGGCATGTTTCATGAATAGTGATATTTAAATGTGTGGAAAACAAATGACACAGAATCAGGGACGAATGCAACCAGTGAAAACATAAAAGCCTTATCACAAACCAAACTTTTGTTCTTTCCCTCCACGGGCACTACAGTGTTAGAACAAATTTCTAACCCAAGCACTCACCTTCTTGCAAAAGCACGGCTTCAATATCCGGCAGACTTTTCTCAATCTGCATGCAGGGAGTCCTCCTCTGATACAGGCCCCTTGTGTCTACCATCTCGTCAGGAAGTTTTGTTAGGTTTTCTGTAAGCATACCATTGAAACATAACATAAACATTCACAATAGGCAATACAAATATTTGGCTGCAGCAATGAAAGTCAAGGTCTTTATTGAATGTCATCCCACTCAAGAATGTCTGGATTATTATCCCCCGCCGCGCGTTTAGCGCGCCTCAAGAACCATTTACTGGATTTTCTTCATATTTGACCCTATGCTTTATCCAGATAAGGCGCAGGGCCCAGTCGATTGTGGTGACCTTCACGTAATTGTCAAGGTCACAGAGACAATTTGAAGATTTCTGTATGTTAACCTGCATGTTAAGATGGTTAGCGAGATCTCAAGAACCATTTACTGGATGTTTTTCATATTTGACACCAAGCCGTGTCTAATCAAGGTGCAGGGCCCAGTCAATTTTGGTGACCTTCACTTAATTTTCAAGGTCACTGCGACACTTTGAAGATTTCAGCATGTTAACCTGAATTCACTGGATTTTCTTCACAGACTTTCAAGACTTTCCTTGAATGTTTTTGAATAAGCAATTTCTTTAGTACCACTTTTGCATATTTCATTCACTATGACATTCATGTCAAGGTCAAAGTCAGTCTTCAAAATATTTGTGTGTTTGAACAACTAAGGAGCAAGATAAGAAGAGAGGTTGACTAGTCGTGTTTTTGCTGACATCTAAACTTTTATTACTTTTTAAGTTTGATTTGATAATTTGCGGCGGGGGATTATGTCACCTTAGTGACAATGCTTGTTATCAATTGTCCAGTTTCTGGAACTGTTGCCTAACAAATCTTTTCTTCAAGTGTCAAACAGATCTCCTCGCAGTGGGCCACAGCTTACAACACAAATTGTTCTGTTGCACATTCTAATTTCTGGTCTTTTTTCTCCTTTTACGTACGTTTCGTTTTTTTTCCGTATGTTAGTTTGTTTTAAAACCTCTGTTTAAGACTACATGGTCTTATCGGGTTTCGTTTTGGGAGGGAATCTCCCAAATGCGTGTAAAAGAGTCAAAAACGTATGGCTTGCATACAGTAAGTAGTACATTTGAATGATTAGAAAAGTTTTTGATTGTGTATAAATGCATGAAATACAATTTGCCCATCCAAATATGCTCAATATTGGTTTATTATTGTGTGACCTTCACCCTTGCTTGTATCGATTTAGGTATGCGTTGATATCGCATTTCAGTTTCATAGCAATTATACGTAAACAACTTTATCAGGTTGGTGTAAACAGTGGCAAATGTATTAGTAACAAGGGAATGTAATATTTAATGCAACTGAGTAATTTCTTAATTGGTATGCGCTCCATTTGTTCGACATGCTGGTTTGAAGCGTCCATAAAAGAGTTGTAATTTATACATTGTCTATTACATGTAGATTTAAGCGCTAAAAGGTGGTTATCTATGAGGAATACGACCTTTGTTATGTAGAAGAGATTTACGGATTTTTTTATTGTTTTACAGTTTTTTACCCGCTCTAAGGAATAAAGTTGAAGATTCCAATGCAATATGTGTTAAGTTGCTGTTATAATATCTCGCCTGAGATTGGCACAGTACACAACTATGTAAATACAATATTTAGGGGGTCATTCTCATCTTACATTGCTGCGGGGTTGCCATTGAGATAAATAGCCATTAATACAAGTGACATTTTCTGAATGTTGAGAAATGTTGATAAACTTAAAAGATATCTTTTCAGAAGGTCACTAAATCAAATTGCCCTTATGGAAAGAATTACGTCACTCACAAAACTAATATTCCACAGCTATGCACCTACTACAGTGCTTCACTATACGTCGCAATTGTAATGTTTTATGAATGTAGCTTCATGTTAGTTTTCAGTATCGCCAACGGCGGTCTCGATAAACAATCTGGAATTAGTACCTAGTTATGTCAACACCACATACACACATTAAGCATCCCCTGTTTTAGGACATCATCAGAAAGATGTCGAAACTTTCATACTTTTGGTCGGGCAGCAATGCCTGATTATCGGATGGAAGGCTGACTACAGAAATACAACAAAGTGTAGACAATATGTTAATTTGCTTTGACATTGTTGTTCTGCTTTTGTGTTTATTGTATATCTTTGTTTGTGTGTTTTGTTTTTTTTGTTTCGTTTTTCTTGGTTCTTTGTTTTCTTGTTTGGTTTTGTTCTAAGACATTTTTGTGTTTTTTTTGCCAAGGATTTCGTATTTTTTTCGCTGTTCGTTTTTGTTTTGTTTTGTTATGTCCGATGCAATTCCCTATTTTGACTTGAACCATATGTTATGTTTCAGGTGAACAACTGACTGGTAAAATATTAGAATTTTAGATTTTACATATCACAATCAAACATTGTCTTTGAACGGGCCATAAAATGTTCGTTTTTTTGCACATTTTCATCCTCAGGCGATCCTGGAACAAAATTTACATTCTCTCTAGCCAAACCTATGCTATAGAGTGAGTATAAGTTGATCTGAAGAAAATTCCATCTACAATCACAAACTAGGAACTATTCTAAGGCTTTTTTACTTTTGAATTAGCAAATATGTTCTGATTTATTTTTTCCTTTAATGGGTAACATGTCTGCTTCCTTGCAAATCTTAATCCCCCAACTATCCTGGAAACTGACATATTCGATTAGCAAAACCTGTCAAAGTCGTTTGTTGATAGTGTCTTACATTGCCGTTTGTAAATATAAGTAACATAAAATTTAATCATACAGACATCTCTCTTAAGCAATATGTAAATCTGTTCTCAGTTCTAAACTTTGCATGATCAGATATAAACTTCTCAGATACACTTGTCGCATTCCAAATTGGATGCACCAGTGACAAAACTTATGTCCGATGCAATTCCCTATTTTGACTTGAACCATACGTTCCCGTAATGTTTCAGGTGAACAACTGACTGGCATATGGTTAGGATGGGTGCCACTGGTGGGGCAGGATACGTTCACCTTCTCGCGAACACCTGGTATCAACACTATTGCACTTTGATTAATGAAGATATGCTCCATCTCTTATAGTGACATTCACTGGATTGTCTGGTCCAGACTCGACTGTTCACACTTTTTTAACTCTTGGTTTTTTTGTTTAACGCTGCACTCAGCAATATCCCAGCTATATTACTGCCGTCTGTAAATAATCGAGTCTGGATCACACAATCCAGCGATCAACAGCATGAGAATCGATTTACACAACTGGCACTTAGCAAACAGAGTTGAAGCAAGCTGCTTACAACTACCTTTGTGTCTATGGAAAACCCAGCGCCTTTGTGCAGCGGCCAACAGCTGGGGAAGGTGTGGAACCTGAGATGAGCAATGTTCTCCACCTTCATATATAACAAGGCAAAGGAAACCGTTTCCTTCAGCTGCCAGATCTTCTTGTCCAAGGTCGCTGAAAGTCTTGCAAACAATTTTGTGATTTCTGTAAGAAAAAATATAGGTATTCATATTACGGCATCTCTGTCTACCCTTGTAGTTTACACTAAATATTAATAAGTCCACATGGTCTCTAGTATGGTGATCTACTGTCAGTGGTTGACAATCTTTATTGTATTGTCATGTATAGTTAAGATATTTTAGATTTGATTGCTAGTTTTAAATATATTTCTGTGATAATTTAGTTTTTTTACTGTCCCTTGCCGACAGGTAAGTATACTAGCTAACTTCATAAATTTACAGCTTCCTTAGTCACTATATTGTTGAAATACTGCCGATGTAACTTTAAATTTTAATTCACTCACTCACACTAAACATAGTATTTATATTTTATCGCCCAAAGGAAGGGATGGGGACATGCATTGAATTAATTAACTTTCAAAATTGTCTAATTAGATATGTATGTCCTAGACATCTTTTAGAATGTGGTAGGGGTGTCGCGATACGCGAATGTATCGATGCATCGATACATTTTTACTGACGATACGATACGCGATACATGCTTGCGTGTATCGATTCCTATTTTAAAACTTTATCGATTCAAATTTTTCTGCTATATCCATCTCCTACAAAGTCTTGATACTAAAATTATACGAGACAGCTCCGATAAATAGATGTAGCTAGCATTACTTAAAAAATAGGTTGGAAACTAAAAGCTTTTGTGATTGGCTAGACTATTTTGACGGACCAATCAGCGAACGCGTACGTTGCCGGTAAGGTATTGCTATGAAAAGGTGCGAAAAGTATGTATCGCGATACGTATCGTATCGTGACCTTAAAATCGTGATACGTATCGTATCGTGAGATTGGTGTATCGTGACACCCCTAGAATGTGGACCAACTCGCTTTGCAACCAGGACAACAAAGGTTGTCAGAATATTTTCCTGATAGTGACCCTTCCTTCCACAATATGGATCCAGGTTCCTTCAATAATTACACCATGGATCCGGGTTCCTTAAATAATTACACCATAATCGATCCACAATCAAATCTGACAGTGAGGTCTCCAATTCATTTTGATGTTGCCTGAGACGACTACGTCAGTCCAGGTAGTGCACAAAGAATCTGGACTGGACTGGAAAATCACACTGGACCAAGTTACCCCAGTTTTAACATTAGCGTCTGTTGGCTGTATAACGTTTGGTTGGAGAGTTGATTAACGCCCCACTCAACAATATTCCAGCTGTATCGCAGCGGTCTGTAAGTAGTCAAATGTGGACCAGACAATCCAGTGATCAACAGCATGAACATAAATTGGGATTCGCGCCTGACCATCCGATCCGTTAGTCGACTCTTACGACATGCATGGGTTAATGAAGACCAGCTAATTGCAGTCGATGTTCTACAAGACTTGGCAGATATATCAGACAGATCTTGAAGTGGTGCCTTTTGGTATTTGCAGATTTTTGGCATTTATAATTTTCATGATTTCCATGGAAACGATTTGGACTTCGTCTAAAATATATCAAGTTGGACTTTAAGTAACTGTCAGAAGATTTGTTCTTTCAAATTTGTTGGGGCCGGAGGGATTTGTCATCTTCTGATGACTCTTGATATTTCCGTTTTGAGCTTGATTTCGTAGAGCCTGATCTCTGATCAGTCAATGTTGTTCTGCAACTTGCTGCTAACAGACAGTGGCCACTGATTTCTGCCGGTATTGTGTAAGTCAATATGTTACAACATTTAAGGCATCAATTAAGCTTTAAAAAAGTTTTATGGTAGACATGTGGAGCTCTAACGTTTTTGAGCATTGAAAGCATGGCGGCTGGTAGTATGGGCAAAGGTCAAGGTCGAATGTCGTCACTCTCAATAGTGACGTCATCTGTTTTGTTCTATGACGTTTCCATATTTGTAAAAAGTGGGTCAATGACCTCTGTTGTTTGTTGTTAGCAGTAAAAGCTATAAAACCGATATCATTGTTTGTTTGAATTATTTTCAAGATTCTATCCATTTTAGCTGTAATAACGGTAACGCTATTCTTCAGGGCGTTATCATTAGCAGAAGCCCTTGGTCTTTTCAACTTTTAATGTTCTTTTCTTTTATGAAAGACCTCCGGCTTCTCATCCTTATAGTATCAATCACTGCAGTGTCTGATGCACACTCGATTGTTTACAAACAACATCATACATCGTTGTTTACAGGTTGCGTTATAGAGCAGTAATACTGCTCAATGCGGCATCAAGTGAACGCATACTCACAATATAGTGTGAATTGTACACAACAGTGTAATGGGTTTTGTCGTTTCAGTTAACATCGATAATTCATTATCCCCATTCTTCTCAGAATATATATATATATATATATGCGTGTGTGTGTGTGTGATTGTAATGGTAGTATCCATACCTGTGTATTGTCGTTGACGAAATGTTCTGCTTTCAAAATAACATTTAATACGTAAGAATTGTTTTTAAACATTACCTTGCACGTTCGATCAGTTTGTCATCGTCAGAAATGAGCAATGTTCGTCCAAGTTTCTGTAAACGCTGGCATACGGTGAGAGACAGGACGCGACCACCTCTGGCAGGGACGGCATGCACATGCACATCAGTGAAATCAATGTTCCCTGTCAGGATACGGAACTGTTTGTGAGTCAAAAACCATAACGTTTCATCGTTTTCATCACTAACAAACTCTGTTGCTGCCACAGAGGAGAGGAAAGCACGGACAACATGTTTATACTTCTCATTGTTCATGCTCAAGGAATCAGGAATACAGAGGCGAGATCGTTCCTTCTCTATCCTTGCTAGAGATAACTCAAATGATTCCTTCTTCATGAGCTCCTTCTCGTGCACTAAGCCATATATAGAGTTGAAGGTCACGGTTGTAAACTTGCGAACGTTCTTTGTAACTTCTTTCGAGACAGCAGAGTTGTATCTTTGAGTCTGAAGTTTCATATTCTTAACTATACTCCTCACAAAAAAATAAGCAACAAGTATTTTCAGTGTAATATCTTTATCAATTTCGATAGCAATTTTTGCCGACATGTTACTGAAAGGTAAATATTCAAAGAATACATAACCTTTAGTGACTGTCAAATTAATTTATCTGATAACATTGACAACATAACCCGAACACAACCACACTCAGAAACAACATGCAAAATGTGTGGGATGAATGTGCACCACTCTTCACACATGCACCCTGATCATTGTAAACCTACCTGTAATCATTCCTCTGGCACAACAAGCGGGTCCTAACTTCATTTTAATGGGTGATAATGCCCGTCCATGGATGATAATGGCCGAGAATGAGTTGTTAACGATGTTGTTTAGATCAACAACATCACACATATGGACTGGCCTGCAAGGTCACTTGATCTTAATCCCATTGAACATGCTTGGGACATTATTGGAAGTCGTGTTTACGGTCTCCATGTGCACCCCCAGACTCTGGATGACCTTGAGCAGGCGTTACAGAGAATGGCAGAACATTCCACAACAGCAACTTTAAAGGCTCATTTGGTCAATGCAAAGACGTGTAGAAGCTTGCATTTGTGCTCATGGTGGTCATACGCGTTACTGAACACTGCTTCACTGTCCAAAACTGACTTGAACCTTAATGTTAACATTTTGCTCCATCAATGCAGCACATTTTGCACGACTGTTTCGCGGGTACATGCTTTTGATGATTTGTAAGTCTATTATTGCTCAATACCATTTCATTTCATTTTGTTAATCGTGTGTATACATATTTAACCCTTCTATTGCATCATTCCATGATTTGAAATTTCAATAAATGAAATTGTAATGAGACTACAAATTTGTGTTGCTTAACTTTTTGTGAGGAGTATATATAGAATACAAATGACACAGAATCAGGGACAAATGCAACCAGTCACAATCTAAAAGCCTTATCACACAACCACATTTTTGCTCTTTCCTACCACAGGCACTATAGGGGTGGAAGAAATTTCTAACCATAGCCCTCACCTCCTTGCAAAATCATGGCTTCTATATCCTGAAGACTTCTCCGAAGCTGCTTGCAAAAGGGCCTCCTCTGACACAGGCCCCTTGTGTCTACCCTCTCCACAGGAACGTCCGTAAGGTTCTCTGTAAACATTGAAACATAAGGTAAACTTTCACAATAAACAATGCAGATATGTAGCAGCAGCAATGACATTCGAGATCTTTTTTTAAATATCATTTCACTCAAGATTGTCAAGATGTTTGTGGATTCCCAGGCTTCTGGAACTGTTACCTAACAAAACTGTTTTTCGACAGATCTCCTATGCAGTGTGCCACAGCTTGCAACACAAATATGTAAACAAAAATATTTAGGGGGTTACTCTCATTTTACTTTGCTGCGGGGTTTGCCTTTGAGATAAATAGCCATAAATACAAGTAACATTTTCTGAAGGTTGACAACTGTTGCTAAACTTATAGTGTAAGTTTTAAGAAAGTCACTAAATCTAATTTCGCTCATGGAAAGAATTACGTCACTCACAAAAATAATATTTGACAACTTTGCACCAAATACAGTGCTTAACTATACGTCCCAATTGTATTTTTTTACAAATGTAGAAACATACCATCTGAACATTTGATGCTGTCTTTTTCAGAGAGTTCCATTTTAGTTTGCAGCATCGCCATCGGTCTCAATAAACAATCTGGAATCAGTACCGAGCTATGTAAGCACCAATACACACATTAAGCACCATCTGTTTTAGAACAATGGCATCATCAGAAAAGTGTCGTAACTTTGGCCGGGCAGTAATGTCTGATTATCGGATGGAAGCCTGAGTACAGAAAAACAACAAAATGTAAACAATATGTTAATTTGTTTTGACACTGTTGTACTGCTTTGTCATTGTTTTAATTGTTTGCTTGTGTGTTTTTTTTGTTTTTGTTTTTTCTTGTTTGTTTGGAGATCTTTTTGTTTTGTCTTTGTTTGTTTTTTTGCGGAAAAAAAATATGATGAGATAGTGCCATGATGAAATAGTGACGTATCACTGTCTGTAAAGGCCCATCTACCGAGGTGTTTGACATCAGTATCGCGTGTATCTGCCACATGTTTGTATGATAGCGCCACCTTCATCTCATGAGAGCCTGCAGATACATAAACCGAAACAGTAGGAGTTTTCCATTTTCCGAAGAGTGTCTTCCTTGGCTTACATTCATGCACCTGCTACAGTTGTAACAATGCCTTAGTAAAAATTATTGTAACGCTTATGATAACCTCCCTTACCGCGCATGCACGGGAGACATAAAACAGGTGAGTTCTGGAAGGTGCGGTTCCCAATGTGGAAGGCTGCATGTTAGATATGGGGTTGAGTATGGGACAGGAGATGCCATCCTTCTTGGTTACGAGGAAATACATGGAGTGAGACCCAGTTGTTCCTCGCCCAACGGTACACACTCTATAGCAGACCTGTCCAAAAGAGCCTGGATTTCATCATGCAGAGTCCTCACCTTGTCAAAGCAGGACGGCACTTGAGTGTGCCTGATCCCAAAGAATACAGGCAGGCCTCACTTCCACTGTGGGGAAATGACCTACCCTAAGGGTGGTGAGCACCCAAGCACCTTTTCCAACAAGGACATCAGGTAAGAGCGACTGGGTCCTCTCATACCAAATAATGGCAGAGTCGAGATCACACTCAGCAGACCTAGCGGGAAATTTGGGAACACACCCCACCACTGTGAAGTGGCTGCATCACTGAGGAACAACCAGCAATAGGAGCTTGGGTTCGAGCAAGCCACGGCTGCCCAAACAAAGCATGAGAGTCCCAGGAGGTCGTAACTGCCTCTGCAGCCGCTGGAGTAATAGTACGAAAGTTGCAAGGAATCCACTGAGGCAACGGCGGGATACGAACTGATAATGCATAGCCGCGCAACTATACATTATACTTGATAGCTAAATTTCCGTTTAACGGGTCTATCCTTAGATTGCATCATCCTCTTAAACCGGGTTCCGTCTATAGTAGTACAAAGGATGTCTAGAAACCGATTTATGGCGTCATTCCACTTCCGCTTTAATGAGATCGCTCACTTCGAACACGTTTGGTGGCTTTTCCACCTCGAATCAAGGTGTCATAAAATACAAACACGATGCCTGTAGGTTGTTTGAACAACGCTGAATACGATACAGTAGTCGATAAACTCTGAAAAAAATTGTAAAGGCTACAATTCATTATTTTTTACATCATCCTCTTGAGCTGGGCTCCATCTATAGTAGCGCAGAAAATGTCTAGAACCAGTCTTAGCTGAGCTCCGTCTATACTAGTTACAGTAGCGCAAACCAGTTTTAAAACCGGTCACTGTTAAAAATTTCAAGGGAACCAGACTTATGGGATGGCTCGCCTCATGCACGTTTGATGGCTTTTCACCACGTATCAAGGTCTAATATATTACAATCACGATGCTCTTATGTAATCTAGACCATGCTGATTATGATGCATGTGTTGATGGATGCTCAAAACATGTTTAGAAGCCACAATCAGCTAATTTGAAATCAGGTTACATAAGCTCGCAAAGCGCATGAGCTATATATAGCTTGAATGCACTTCCACAGTGAGAGTGTGACTGCTGCTGTGAAGGGAATGTGCCGGACTTCAGACCTACAGTTTTAGCGTTCGAATCCCAGACAGAACGGGGTTTTTTCTTTTTAATAAGAAGGGAGTAATACCGTGTCGTGAGAGACAATTTGGAATTCCTCTCAGACGAAACCCCTACCCGGTCCCTCTTGCAAGTAATGTAAATTCGGTTTGTCATCTTTGATGTCCACTTGGTCGACATGGTACGTTTTCGTGGATCATACGGGGTCTGTGGCACGACGTTTGTCCCCTCCTTCGAGTTCACCGGCCTGTTACAGATACCTCACGATGACCCGGTCTGGTAGTTTTTTCTCTTGACCGTGACGAGATAGTGCAGCCGATTCGTTCGTCACAGATTTCATTCGGCTAAAGTCCTGTTAAATCTTTCAACGATGGCTTGGCATCGGTGAGCTTCAGTCATGCCTCGTCTCATCCAGACTTCATGCTTTGATAACAGCTGTGACACGGCTCCCATGAACTCGCGTCCGGGATCGAATTGTAATTTGGTCAGCCAGGTCAAGTGACTGCATTTGTAGATACGTTCTAAGGCCTTAGCGACTTGACTCGAATCTTTGGTCGTTACCGGCTCCGCTTCCTTGTTGCAACTGGCAAATTCCACGACGGTCAGGGCTTACTTGTACATTTTGTTTCTCACCCTGTCATGCGGGAGGAACAGGAGGTCGGCTTGATGGGTACGATTGGGTATGGAAATGTCAAACTTTCTTTTCAGGATGTATCAGGAAACCGGCAGGTACACTTGCTAGATGGCTTGTTTTTTAAGCCGAGCTTTGGCGGTATCCTCGGAGATGTGAGCTGCTTTGGCTAGCTTGGATGGCACTCACACCTTTCCAGTAACTCCGAGGGCTGTAGTAAACCTTCTCCATGATGTATACACGCTATCGTTCATTCAATTGTCTCAACGCATCGAGTGGAGTTTCCTTTATTGGGGGTCTAGGAAACTCCAAACGCGTCGAGGCTTACTGTGGATACCATCGTTCGCATCCATCTTTTGGTATCCAGGGTGACAGCGAGGTCTTGCTGAAAGTGATGCCATAGATGTTGTGCTTGTTGTTTCTCAACATGTTCATGGGGTGTTTGAACATGCGTTTATCAAAGAGAGCCTGTTTGAAGAGGGTGTGTTGAATGTGTCGTTTCACTACACATTTTTTTACCCCTTTCGCCTCTCAGATTTCATCGTGATCGGCTTTTTGAATCGAATGCAGTCTAGGTCTTATACCAACGTATTCTGCGATGGGTGTCCCCGCGCATTCGTCCTTTATCTTGCCGAAGATCTTTTTATTGGTCAGTCTATGTAGGGCGTGGTCTTGGCAGTAATCGCTGGTGTTGTACAGGTGCATATGTTTTGCCAAATCCTCGTACACGTCCTCGGCGCCTATATTCAACAGAAATTGGTTGCCATGTACAGCAGCTCGCATCAATCGCCGTACTGTTGTTGGAGTCAGTTGTAATAAAAGTCGTACATCAAATGTTTGGACAGGTCGAGAATGTTCATCCCCACATAGATGGGTCACTTGAGTTTGATGCGGCTTTCGTTCATGTCCAGTGCCTCAAAGTCATTATCAAATAGCTTGCTTCGATTGAAGGCCGTTCAGGCTATGAGTTTGACCTGCACCGGTTTTCTCAAGTTTTCCATGGTTTTCCCGAACACCGAATTGTTCATCAGTTTATAGAGGTTTTTCTTGAAGTCACTGGTGGCCCGTTTTTGCAGCTCCGTGTTCAGCCGAATGTAAGGTACCATCCAAGGACTTTGATCGAATTGCAGCACCCGATGTATTTTAGTCAGCTTCATGCCCAGTTGCAGATTCCGATAGTGCACCATGTACTTGGTCTTGTGCATCAAGTTCAGAACGAGTTTTTCCACGTTTGCCAGCTTATTTTTCCTGAGCAACATTAGTTGATAGTCCGACATCCAGTCTCGGTTCACCATCATACGTTCGGGAGCCAGGGTGGTGGGGGTATCCTAGTGGTTAAAGTGTTTGCTCATCACGCCGAAGACCCGGGTTTGAATCCCCACATGGGCACAATGTGTGAAGACCATTTCTGGTGTCCCCCGCCGCGATATTGCTTGAATATTGCTAAAAACGCCGTAAAACCATTCTCACTCACGTTCGGGAGCCAGGGGTTAGCTGTTGTGAGCAGCGTGCAATGCCCTTGATACTCCAAATCCACTTCGAGGATGTAGCCTTTGTTCGAATCTGGCGCAATGCTCATGATATCGATCTGATCGTCCAACCATGTGAACCCGCCCATAGGTAGAGATTGACTCATGGCCCAGTCGTACAGGGTGTTGGCGTCAAGATAGAGGAGGTGCTTGGTGGGCTTGCTCAAGTCGTAGCTTTCCACGTATTGGTTGTTGGCTTTTGCATACCGTTGGAAACCATTGAAATCCCACTGTGCATCCCTTTCTCGACGAACAGATGCATGTCGTAATCCGTGAGCAATTACAGTTTGACACCCGGGGCTGGTGTAGTACCAGGCAGGGTCGAGTTGTTTCAAACACGTTCAAACGTCTCGATCACATTGGCCAGCAGCAGGACGTCCGTTTTCAAGTAGAGATCGTGATAATCGCCCAAATGCTTGCAAACAGTTTATCCCACACGTTCTGGGCATGGTCGTAATCGTCCTGGGAGATGGTCGAGTCAGTTAAGCCGCTGTAAAAGCAGTCAAGGGGAGGTAATCATGGCTCCTCGAATTTAGACCAATTGTCCATGTACTCGTACGGGTACGCACCCTTTCGGAGCAGCAGATGTCGAGTCATCGCATCTGTGAATTGATCAGTGATGGGGAAGGTATTGTTGGCCTTGAGTAAACTATCGAGCGATGACAGGAGAAACTGAGCGCTGCCGATAAATCTCAGACAGTTAAGCGAGAATAAGATGTATTTGTCCATGTTGTTGGGGATGCACATTTACTTAAGTTATGGAACACCACTGGGATGGGACGGGTTTGGGGATTGATTCTAAGCTAGAGGTTGCACACGTTATAGGCGTCATCTTGGTATCGACCGGTGATGTGGCAATGATCTCTCACGACATCCACCTTCAGGGATTGGTCAC